AAAAAAATATTAAAATAAGGTTTTTTTAAAAAAATTTTGTATATTTTAATTATTTATTAAAATTTAATTTTAATAATGAAAATAATAAATTGGTTTCAAACTTCAATTCGAAAAATGAAAAAAAAAATATGTAACAATATATCAATATATGTTAGGAAATGACACTGCAACCAACATCGTTAGTCGAGAAGTTCGAAACGTGGTGCGCGAGCTATAATTCAAAAGTGATTTGTGACTCAACAATATTCGATGAATTAGTGGAGTTAAGTGTAAATATAGTAAGTCGAACCTGAAAGTTTAAACGGTGTAAATTATATGTCGAGAGTGGAAAGACAGAAAGAGAGAGAAAGAGTGAATCGAAAACACGTTGGCTAGAATTCAGCGAGTTCTCCAGTGTAGCTTGCCAAGTATATAAAGTCAGAGCAGTTGAATATGTGTAAAGTATCTTCATATTATATGTATACGAGACTTGGAAATTTCTCATTTCTGTATATAATGGACATCACTCGATGACAACTCGAATCACTATCACGACAATGAGAAATGAAAAATTGCTCCACTCTCACGTCCCTTGAAGGCTGATAAGTCCTCTTGATGAGCAATGAGAAAAAAAGAGATTGTCTTCACTTCACATATGTATATCTATAGGAAATTATTTTTTTCCATATATATATATATATATATATATAGTGAAAAAAAAGATAATTTTACTGAGGATTTTTAACCCCATATGCGAAAACGTGGCGTGTGCGGTAAAATACACTTCAACTACAATTAATTAACCAGTCTGACGTTAAACGCGATCGATGTATTCAAACTCGGGCAAAGGACAATATTGAAAGTGGCACTCTACAGTTCAATGGCAAATAATCCAAAACACTGCATTTCACTGACTATGAGTGAATTATAAAAAACAAAGCTTTTTTTTTTTGACAAATAAATTGAATTGTTGTTGTTCAATATTTCTCGTAATTTTTTTTTTTAGTACTCTAAATTGAATTCGATTTTTCATCACTCATAAATATATGGGCAAATACACGAAACTTTTAACTTTTGTGATTCTCGAATTGAACACTTAAAAATCTGAATTATTTTTAATTAAAACTTTGGGTATCATTTTTTTTTTTTTTTTGCTAAATTATATACAAAAGAACATTTATGTACAATATTAGAACAAAATAATTATTTGACAATTAGTTTTATAAGTTAAAAAGTGAACAAATGCTTAAATTTCATTTGAATTTCTTGAAAAAGTTTATATTCTTACCGTTTGTATTTTTGCGGCGTGTAAAATATCACTTCAGCTACTATGGAAATATCTAACAGACATATTTTGTCAAAAAATTTTCACTATCCCATTAGTGTGCCACCACTAAAACTAAAAATACGAAGGTTTGATTGAGTGATAGCACTTTTTAAAAAAATTCAATTGAACGTCTTCTTATGAAAATATCTATTACGGCGTTGGATAAAAATAAAAGTTCAATGCAGTTCTTAAAAGGTGATGAAAAAACAAAAATTTTAAGACCTTTTTCAATGATGTGCCTCTAATTATATTCCTGTGGCAACAATTTAAAGATGATAATAAAAATCGTGATTTCATTTAAATTTATACATTTTTGAAAGGCACAACTGCATTTTTGCTTTAAACAGGTCAATCTATGGTGTGATCGAAACATTTTCATACATATGATGTATTCCACGCCAAAGTGTAAGTCAATCTGCAATTGCATCTCCGATTTTTTTAAGATTAAAATACATTTTATTTATCTTATGAATAAACCAAAAGTTTTGAACGTTCAAATGAACGAAATTTTTTTTGCAACTTCTTTAACTACGAATTTTATTATAAAATATTGTTTTAAATATATAAAACGGAGTTATTTATTTAATAATTGTTTAATTTATTGTTTTATTTTACATGGTCATCACAATTTTTAATAATTTATAGATTGAAAAAAATATTTCGTTCATTTGAACGTTCTAAACTTTTGGCTCATTCTTATGCATTTTTTTTTAATTTTGCATATTTTACCCAATAAACGAAAAAAACCATAAATTTTGGAATTTTTTTATGGTTTTCACCACAAAAATCAAATGTTTGGGTATTGTCACTATGATTTTCGTAATCAACGCATCAAAATACATAAAAGTACGTAGTATAAGAAAAAAACCAAAAATATTTTTAAAAAATTCAAAATTCAAAAATTTTTGAAAAATTCCGAAAATATTGTAAAAATTGTTTGCCCACTATCGGGCTAGGCTTAAAAGTTTTGTAATAAGAAGTAGTTTTTTTGAAAAAATTTTGAAAAAATCGATCAGTACGTCAAATGAGAAAAATGACTTTTTATCTTTTTTTTTACTGCTAAGCTGCGTGAAACCGTTCTTAAAATTTAATAATAATTTATAATAACTATGGCCATAATATGTTAATCTTTAGTTGTTTTTTTTTATATGACAAAATTATTGTCTACAATTTAAACCTTATAATGGGTTTATCACCCGTCTGTAATTCTAAATAAATAAATAAATAAATTAAAACTCAAAAATTTGATAGTAATATTGTTTAAAAAAAAATTTCGATTTTTTTATTAAAAAGTACGTTTAAAAACACACATTTAAAAAAAAAAGACTTTTAAAATTGATGCATTTTTAAGGAAGTTATGAGCATTCAAAAATGGACTTATACACTTTGGCGTGAAATACATCGTATATTTGAACACAAAAACGCCGCTTAAGGATTTTGAGTGAAACAAACTTTATTAAGTTAAGAATACCTACACGTTTAAGTACATTTTAGCACTACAAATTTATAATTATGCGTGATTCATTTTTAGTTCACGCTGTCAATGTTTAACTCTTTAAACTCTTTAATGTTAATAAATTACATATAAAATTGAAAAATTCAACTTTTTTTATTTTTGATATCGGAATGGTTTCTAAAGTATTTTCCTCCTCTGAACACGATTCTGGCACCCTAATTTGCTTAGCACGTCAGAATTTTGAGAAAAGAGGGAGTAAATACTTTAAAAAAGTTTTTTCAGCACATAGGTATACAAAGTGACATCAATGTGCCTGCAAATTAAAAAAGGAAATTTTTTTTTCTTGAAAGTTAATAGTTTCGTGGATTTGCCCATATTATACATTCAGCTAGAAAATAAAAAAACTTCATGAAATAGTACTATATAATTTACTGTCACGCAATGACTTTTTATTAACTAAATTCAATTGATGTTTTTAATTAAAATATCCAGACATTTTGCTAATGTAATTTAAATGTAATTAAGGAAAAATAATAATCTGCTTGATTGAAATTAAAGAGAAACAATTTCAAATATATTTAGAATTTATAAAACAATTTTATGAATCAAAGATTATAAAATTTCAAAAATGAAGTTAATTAAATTCAATTTAGATATATATAGTTACAAAAAAAATAATAATAAATAAAATTTGTTTGCAAAAGAAAATCACATTTTGCATTATTTGAAACACTAGCCCTAAGAATTGAAAAAAAAGGATCTAAAGAGAAATCTTCAAATTTATAACACAACTGTAATTATTTTTTAGGATATAAAAGGCATATAAATCTTAATTTTTGTAAAATCAAGTGCTATACATTTTCATTAAATTTAAAGAAAATAAACGAATTCTTCTTCAGTTTCCCGTAATTACTGATCAATAATTTATTTTTACTGTATTATTCTCGACATTTAATTATCGTTCTAAATAAGTGTTTTAATATTTTATTTCAATTTTTTTACGTTAATTATATTTTTTGGTTTTATATTCATTATAATTTACTTGCTTACTTTTGGTATTAACTATATTTGCATATATATATATTTTAATTATGTACAACATAACCTCAAAATCTTCAATTTACGATTCGCGTAAAAAATATTTGACGCAATATAATTTCAAAACAGTTTGTTTTTCTTTCAATACAAAATTGATACAAAAATAAAAAACACAATCTGTTCAATGTAAATGATTAATAATTAAAAAAAAACACTCACCGAACACTAGTTGATTGTCAATTCAATGCAAAAATCAAGTTCGCCTTATCAGGGTTGCATTTTTGGATTATCCTTTATATTTTGACATTGATCTCGAAATTGATAAATAAGTACTTTGCTTTAAAATTATTTCGTTTTTCAAGTAGTTGCCCTTTGATCAGACATCGCATCAGACAACATGAAGAAGCGAGAATTCAAGATAATATCAACACATCCATCACATTTTTTGACATTTCTTTTATTCTTAACCTGGATATTTACTTTTCTTGTTTTATTTTACACTATTAAATATATAAATATTTCTTTGAGTATTTTCTTTTCAATTTGTAAAAACAAAAATTGAGTACACTAAAACGTCAATCGAGAACAGACGAATGTGCAGTGCTGTTCTCGATTGACGCGATTTTTATCGCTCGAAAATAAAAACACTCAGGGCCGTATGAAGGGCCTTACGCAACAATGTGAATTCTATCTAGGGGATTTTCACTAGTGGGGCACTGAATCCACCTTAAATTTAAAAATCACAAGTACGACTTTGGCGTCAGTCATAACCTAAATTCTACCCGCTTCCCCACTTCCCTTCAAGTGTTCCCTTGCTCTGTTCTCGACTGACGTGTTCTCGATTGACGTTCTAGTGTATATTCAACAAGTCATAGAGCTTTCAGCAATATAGCACTTTCTTCCTCATGAACTTCCGCTTGAGTGATACACGTAGTCGACACCAGATGACTCTCCGGTGAGTTTTCTGTTTTTGCCAACAGAAATATAAATAAATACATACCTTTATAAACCAGATAATGTAAATAAATATAAATTTATTTAGTATCTATATTATTATCGTGATATTAAACAATTATCCAGAATTATAACATAAAAAACATTTTTTAACTGTGTCTGAACGTAATGAAAAAAATTCGTGTCCTTCGTGCTAAGTTAAAGTTTGTGCATCTTCGTTAATTTCCGACTTATTTGCAAAATGGCCGCCATAATACTTCCGTTAACATTGAATTATTTTAATTAATTTTATCAATAAGAGAAATTTTGTAAAAAATCTATCAATAATAAGATTAATAAATAAATGATCAGTAATTTTCCTCAAAATCAAACATTAAAAGCAGATGGATAAATTGATAAATTATGTACTTGATAAATACGAATGGAATGACAAAAGTCGCATTGCTTACTCCATTATTTCTTCAAAAATAATTGGCTTTAATCAATGCAGAAGAGATATCCAAGTAACTACAGGTATTATTAATTACATACAATTTTTATAATTAGATTCATATTAATTATTGTCATTAATTTTGAGGTTATATAGAATAATTTTTTCTTTTATATTTTTGTGTGTCGTTCAACATAACCTCAAAATGTTTACAAATTATAAAAGTGTTTAATTTTGAAAATTATTATTATTATTTAATGAATTATTAATAATATTATTTTTAATGTAATTCAAATTTTTTATATGTTACATTTTATTTAGATGATATATTTTCTATTTTAGTAGTGAAAAATTACTCTTTTTTTACATAAATAAGCAAATTGTCAGTTATCATTAGTTGTTAATTTTTAATGAAACGTTAACCTTTGCAAATGATTATAGTCTATCTTTATCAGCAGGGATTGAAAGATGTAAAAAAAAGTGACATTAATCATTCTTTTAAAACCCCGTATCATATTCTTTATAGTTTTGATATATCTTCTCAAATCATTTTTGTTCTTATTGTACAATCTATAATTTATTCAGGAATCGTCCTCCCTATAGTTTCATAAAATTGAATAGAAGTAAATTTTAAGTTTCGTATTCCCCTCTGACACTAATGCTTTGAGGATCTTTTGAAAATTATAGAACTTTTCTGTATATAGGGCGTGTTCTTCCCGTAGGAATAGGAGTGGTTATATATATAAAGTAAAGATCAAGATAGTGGCTAGAGCCGTATCTATATACAATATAAGTGAACTAAGTCATTTATAGTAGGTTTATTATTCTACTTTAAAAAAAAAACATTCGTGAATGAAAAAATTTATTTTGATAAATAGGTATTACTCATTTAAAAAAAAAATTGCAAACACTAGTGGGGGTTAAAATTTTAAAATTTTATAAATAACCTAACTTCATTTTTTAATCAATTGGATGAAAACAAAAAAATACACCTTAATTAAAAATTTTTTTTTTTTCATACCTACTAAATTTTAAATGATAAAAAAAAATATAGGACAAAAATTTATCAAAGATTTAAGCCAATTTTTAATTTTTTACATGAGCCAAAAGTTTTGAACGTTCAAATGAACAAAATATTTTTTCAATCTATAAATTATTAGAAATTATAATGTCAATGTAAAATAAAACAGTAAATTAAACAAATATTAAATTAACAACTTCTTTTTAGATATTTAAAACAATATTTTGTAATAAAATTTGTACTTAAAGAAGTTAAAAAAAAAATTTTGTTCATTTGAACGTTCAAAACTTTTGGCTCATTTTTTCACTGGGATGTTTTTTAGAAGAATTTTCTATTATATATGTACATATTTAGGAATTTTTAGGGAGATAAATAATCAATTTCTTCTTGATCAATGAGTAGCAAGTTTCTTTGCGAAACAAATACAGTGGAAATTAAAGAATAAATTTTTAATTTTAGTAGTACATCTATTCGCCTTTGGTAGTTTTCTTAAAGAAATTGCGTTTCAAGCCAAATCTCATCGTAATTTGGAAAAACGAAATTTTTTTTTTTTTTTTTACTTTCTCAACTGAAAAAAAATAAAATCAGGAGAAATAATTTATTTATTTATTTGAAACATAACGGGACATGCCCTTTCGTACAAAAGTACTCCTAAATCTAAAAATAATGGTAATTTCAAACTATATAAATCTGATTGTTTTTTAAACTGTAGATATAATTATTGAAATAATTATTCATTTTATTCGTAATTGTCATAAATATTTTTTTTTCTTTATTCTTTTTATATTTTCGAATGATAACATTTACAAACGAATGATAGTGTCAACAAAAAATTTCATAAAAATAATATTTTAAAATATTGTGAAAATTCAATATTGCGAAATATTATAATTTTTTTCTTTTGTTCACGAGAAAATTTACGAATGAAATTAGAATTGAGGGCAAAAAAGATACACATGAATCGAAATGCAATTCATTAATGAATTGGCAATCTGAAGGTATTGGTAATTCTTTTATATAGCTGATAACTAAATATAACTAAAGGTTAAGAAAAATTAGGCTATTAGTAATAGAGGCCTTATCGATCTAGATGAAATGTATATACCAGGTACGGTTCAGGTATACTTATCCCCTGGTTGAGGTAGGAGAAGAAAGGCACTTGCCCTCATGCATTTGTGATTTAACTTTACGAGACACTAAGGTCTCTCAGACAAAGTTAGGTCCAATCTCTCTTTGTGACACACTGACTCAATTTTTCGTCACGGAAACAAAAAAAAAAGTTTAATATAGCTCGCTTTTATTTTGTATATATAGATATACCATTCATTGTTGCTATTTTGTATTTGTTAAATTATTCAAAATTAAAAATTTCCCACGGAATACTTCTTAGCCGAGAAATATTTTTTTTTTTTTAAAGAGAACAAATTCTTGAGTGCTTAGCGTGACCTCGTCATATAAGATTCTCCTGCGTTTTCCAAGACTTGAGGAGGTTAAAATATACTGATTTTTCCCTACACTTTTATAAAAGGTTTCAGAATTTCCTTCTTTTTTTTTTTTAAATCTTGAAACAATGGAAACATTTCTGTCCATTTTAACTCTCTCTCTCTCGTGGTTTTTTAATAAGATGGGAATATATTTTTGCGCAAGGGCAAATAAAAATTCTTCTTTTATTTTATTTACGATATGAATAACATATTTTATACATGTTTTTTGTGGTTGTGTATTATACATTTTTCAAGTTGAAAAGTGGAAAAACATCTTGAGCTTTTTATTTCTCTCGTTTCTTTTGTCCTCAATGTCAATTTTCTTCAAGAGACACACATACAATATGTATCACCTGAATCTTCGAACTTGAAAAATTGACATGTTTGGAATAAAATTTCTATCAAAGTAAACTCAATTTTTCTTTTGAAAAATAAATTGAAAATTTATTAAAAATAAAATAAAAAAAAAAAAAAAAAAAAAAAAAAAAAAAAAACACATTTGTGATGATGAGATTTTTCTTGAAATGTATTGTAAAATTTTTTGAAAAGAAAAGAAGTAAATGAATCTTTACTTTTGAATAAATTACTTTTTTTTTCTCGCTAAATTTGGATTCTCTTTTTTCGAGTTAATGATAATTTGATGAAAACTTATATTTAAAAAAAGATTATTAAAATATTAATAAATGTGTTGAACTTTATTCGTTCATATATATAGAGAAAAAAGGATAAATTTGATTCGTGACATTTTCTCGCATAAAAATTTCAATCTTTTTTAATTCGTTCTACTTTATAATTTTTGTTAAATTTCAAATTATATTTTTCAGTTAATTTAATTGATAATATATATAAAATAATAGAGAAGAAATTCGTGTCTAGTACGAAAATTTTCAAAGATATATATAAAAACAAAACATTTATATTTACATTAGAATTCAGTTCACATTCTTTTGCTATCTACCAAATAAAAAAAAAACGCAAGACATTTCCTATATCTAAAATGGATCTGGCAAATTTTAAACGGAAATCGTGCTTCCTCTTCGGTATTCTTGAATTATCTACACTGAACTGCAAAGTTCTCATCAAATTCGTACGCCAATTAATTTTGAATACTTTTCTGTCGGTTTTATATATGTATGGTATAATTACAGATACCTTATAAGTTTTGAGATTTCAAGAATATTTGTTCTAATAATTAAGGAGCGAAGTTTCAAAAACTTCGAGATTCCGCGGATATGTTGATTCTGAATTTCTGAAAATCGTTATGATAAACAAATTAAATATTATTTTTATAATTAAAAAGTTTTTCAAAAATGGTATATATTTTTGTATAAAATTTATACTTTCTTAATTCTATATTCTTATAGTACTTATTTTCGAATATTTCAAAGTAATTAATTTTATATTCTGTACTATTAAAATAAAAATTTATATTTTAAATTTATAATAATAAATTACATTGAAATATTCTAAAACAGTTTTTTTATTTTTAATTTCAGTACATTTTTTTTATTGTCTATTTTCTAATTAATTTATTTAACTTCTATAAATAGAATTAATATATAAAAAGTAAAAAATTCATGTACCTTCCGATTAGAAAAAAAAAAAAAAAAAAATAGGTGTGACTTGTTTAAAAAATGTCGCACGAAGAAATTGCAACGTCTGAGTTTGCTAATGGAATATTGCATGAATTAACTTTTTTATGGCGGCAGAAAGTAAAGCGAGAACATTCCCGCACCTTATCACTTAAAGAGTGAGGCTTGATGTTTTTCTTTACAATTTTGCATTGAATTAATGAAATTATAAATTTTCCAACTTTTTTTTTTTTGCAAAATTACTAATTCTTGCAAAAGTACAAAATTTTGAAAAAACTTCTCGTCCTTTTTTTGATATGAAGATTTTTTTATTTTCTATGAGAAAAAAAGGTGATTCTGTTTTGTTTTTATAGTTAAAACACCAAATTCTTGTTGTTTTTTTTGTTTCTTTATATGTTAAAAGTTCAAAATCTAGAATAAAAAAAATATACACTGATCCATTATTTTTAACGAGAAAAATAACTATTTTTGGAAAAAAAACTTTTAATACCCAAAAAAATAAAGAGAGAAGTGAGATACGTAAAAATATATTCTATCAATTGCAGACACACAATAATGACGTTTGTTGGTGAAAAGTTTTGAAAAAAAAAATTATCAGTTTTAATCACCCTGGCTGACCTACTTTTTAAGCATTCACTGTATATATTTCAGTCTTTTAACATGAAAACTGTAGAATCGCTAGTTTTTCAATTAAAGCCGCCAAGTCTGGATAAAAATATAACGCTTGTTAGGTAAAAAGAATTTCAAAACCGGACGATAAAATGTAACATTCACCTATTGTTCCCGAATATTTTAATGAAACTGAGAGCATTATGCATTTTCTCAACTTTCAACTTTGGAATGTTACAATAACAACTACTGCTGTAATAAACAGAGAAAGAGAGAGAGAGAGAGAGAGAGAGAGAGAGAGACAGAGAAATGCATAATATTACGAATAAGGTTTAATGGATAAAAGCATAAAGAATACATTTCTCTTTATAATACGT